CCAAATACCATCACATTGGGAGTTAGGACTTCAACATACGAATTTTGGATTTTAGGGACAACAACGAACATTGAGTTCTTAACAATATGTAACCTTCTAAGTTTCAGTTTCACTAGCTTTAAAAATAGGAATAATACTATCTCTATGGTAGTTCTAAGGTAATACATGATAAGCTTAAGAATTTGGTACATAGTAAGCTCTAAAAAGAGAGTTGCTGCTACTGTGATTATTCTTAATACCACATTTCAGAGATATGCTAGAAGCATTTTTGGTGCCTGTTAGGACTAGGCCGGATGGACTTTTTCAAGAATTATTAAATGCATTTTTATAATTGTACTTATATTGTGAGCCTGAAATAGAGATGCCATTCTGAATATCCTTCAGTTCCCTCATTTCACTCTCCGGGCATCTTCCTATCAGCCTACCTTTCTGATTATGTAGCCTATCCGGGCATCTTCATATCAGCCTTCCTTTCTGATTATGTAGCCTATCCTGTCTTTGCTTTTTCTCAGTTTTTTCCTCTGACTTTGTGGTTGTTTCCTTCTACATCCCTTTCCCTTTGGTCTCTGTCACTCTGTATTCTTGGTTTCATTTTCCCATCTCCCACTTTTTTCATTATTCACTATAATATGTGATAAATGGTTTATAGCATGTGCAGTTTTATTGTTTTATAATTTTTGCTTTACGTCAAAAGTTAGTGTTGAATGTTTCCTCCATGTGTAACCATGGTTTCGTAATCCTGTCACTATTTTCAGAGTTTGATTTTTTGTTAGGCATTGACTATGGCAAGACTGGTATTAGAATCCTGACTTTATTCTTCCTGGGTTTTATTGTGGTTAGTACTGAACTGGCATGTAGGAATTAAGTTTTATGGTGCTAAGTTCTGCTGAAAGAGGAACCTGTTTAACGTATCCTCTCTTGCACAGATGGGCAACTGCCTTTCCTATAGACATAAGTGTGAGAAAGCTGCTGCTTCTAGCTTTGTTGAGGTGACCTTCTAGCAGGATACTGCTCCTCATGGCCAAGGTGTATGCGGTACATGTTAAGGCCCCAGTTTCCCTTCACTTTTGTTTCACCAGCCTTCATAATATGAGTGGAATTGTTGTGTATCTGCTAAGAGAAAACCAGTCATTTGACAGCCTGTATTTTTCTACATTTAGCTACTGCCATTTACACAATGGGTTTTCATGTGTAACAGCACATCCCTTAATCATGGTAATTAAAATCATCTTGAATAGATTTAGTTACACTTAATTATAGAGTTTATGTTCTTTTTTTTTTTGAGAGGTTTTTGCTATAGAGTGCATGTGTTCGCCAGAAAGACAGAAAGCGAGAAATCACTCCCCGGGGGATGGCCACGCTGTAGTCCCTTCTCCATTCTCCTCTCGGGATCTTGGGCACGCACGCACATGCGCCCGGCGTGAGTTTAAGCCACCGGGTCCGGGACTCAAACCGTGTTCAGCTACATGGGAGTCGAGCGACATAGCCATTATGCTAAGTGCTGGTCCCTTCTAGAGTTTATGTTCTTGTCAGCTTGTTATACATTTGTATTTGTAAGACTCATTTTTGTAAATACTTTAAAAGTTATCCTTTTTCCATTTCTTTTAAGACAAAACTCATGTATTTAGTTATGGATTATTTTAATTTCTTGAAACAAAATTCACTTTAACATTGACACTATTAGTCAAGCATTAATGTAAAAATTTACTGTTGTTTAATGTGCATACTATCAAGGGTAGAATCATGTTGTGAACATAGACTACTTAGAGAATATGGAAATTCTCATGTACTTTTCTAGATTGCCAAGAAATACTATGGTGAAAGAGAACGAAAGGATGAACTACTTCAAGTTTGGATGTCATTTCACTTCTGTTTTTGGAGATATTCTTAACATAAAAAAAATTGTAAAACAGGCCCAGCAGTAGTGATACGGGTGGTGGAGTGCTGCTGTAGGATGCTGGAGCTGTATGAGAAGCCCCAGGTTCATACCAGCACACCTGTGATCCTGGCTGGCTGAAAGGAGGGAAGGATCACAACCTGTCAAACCCTTGTTGAGGTTACCTGTTCCCTCCTCCCATCCTCCTCCCACTCCTCCCCCAAGAATGAAACTTTAAGAAAATTGTGGTGTGACTCAGAAGTAAGATACAGGGAACCAGCAGTTAGCGTAATGGCTATGTCGCTGGACTCCCACGTAGTTGACCGCGGTTCGCATCTCCGACCCGGTGGCTTAAATCTCACGCCGGGCGCGTGTGCGTGCGTGCCCAAGATCCCGAGAGAAGAATGGAGGAGAAGGGATTGCGGCGTGACCATACCCCCTGGGGGGTGATTTCTCGCTGTCTGTCTCTATGTCTCTGTCTGTCTGGCGAGTGCACGCTCCCTATAGCGAAAACCTCCAAAAAAAAAAAAAGAAGTAAGATACAAAAAAGTGTGTATTTCCATTTTTTTTTTAATTAGTTGCAGTAGGCCAGCAGGTGGCATAGTGATTAAGGTGCTGGATCCTCTCACATGGCCAACTCTTTGGTTCGAGTCCTGAATCTGGCCAATTGAGAAACACACCAGGTGCACATGTGCCCAGAAATCCTTCGAGGATGAAGGAGAAGGGATTGTGGCATGACCATCCCCCGGCGGGTAATTTCTCACTTTCCTTCTCTCTCTGTCTTCCTTGAGCACATGCACCCTATGGCAAAAATCATTTTAAAAAAATTAGTTGGAGTGTTCTCTCTTAAAACAAAATTCAATAAGATACTCATCTGGTGAACCAGAACCTGAAAAAGATGTTTCAACATAACTAGCCATTAGGGAAATGCAAATTAAAATCACTTTATCTGTTATCATGGCCAAAATAAAAGATACATTATGGTGAGGTGCTGAACACCTGGATCTCTCACATGTTGCTAGTGGGAATGTAAAATGTTGCTGGTGGGAATGTAAAATGGTACAGTAATTCTGGAAAACAGTTTGGCAGCATCCTAAAAAATAGTATGTGTACTTTCTGTGCAACCCAGCAATCATACTCCTAAGCATTTATCCCAGTAAAATGAAAACTTACTTTCACATAAAAACCTGTTTGTGAATACTTATAGTAGCAATTTCATTGGTAATAACCAAAAAGTGGAAACAGCTCAATTGCTCCTCAACAAGTGAAATGATTAAGCAAACCATGGTATATCCATACCATGAATTACAGTTCAACACTAAAAAGAAATGAACAATTGATAGACACAGCAACTTGGATGACTCCAGAAAAATATGCTGAGTGAATAAAAGCAATCTCAGAAGGTTATATACTATATGATTCCTTTTATATAACTCTCTCTTTAAAATGATAAACATACAGAAAAGGAGAATCCCTGGTTGACAGGGATTAAGAAGGGCATTAGAATTGTACCTACTTGTATCCAGTGTGTTTTTTAAACTGCTAGGGCTGGTATTTAAACCACAATTGGCCACCTACAGAGCTGGACCAAGATCTGTTTTTAAAAATAAAAAAGTTAAAAATTCTTCCAGGGTAGAGGCCAGCAGGCGGCATGGTGGTTAAGGTGCTAGACTCCCACATGGCCAACTGCAGTTTGAGTCCTGGACCTCGTGCCTTGCTTTCTCACTTTCGGACCTCGTGCCTTGCTTTCTCACTTTCTTTCTCTCTGGTGAGCACATGTGCCCTTTAGCAAATTTAAAATAACAGATTTTAAATTTGTTATTGTAAAATGTATTATAATATATTTAAATAATGTTTTTAAATATTTTTTTAATTCATGGTTAAAAAAAATTCCAGGGTAAAATTGTAGTAATTTGCATCTGTCATGGTTCATGATGTAGAACTGATGGACCTTGAGCACGTTTATCTGTGTAGAGCAGAACAACTTTATGAGTAGAATCAAGGATTGGTAATCACACTTACTCATCTGGGAAGAGAAGAGTGAATTTCTCTATAGGTAGATGTCATGGAAAGCCCCTTATTTTTCCCAAAGGAATGACATTCTTTCTCCCAGTTTAGCTTTGATCTGAACCTGGTAGAATAGAATGTGCTCTAACTTCATAGCACAGAACTTTGAGCTGAAGGCAGTTCCAAAGCTGGATTTAGAACAACTCTTGGGCTCATAGTGATAAACTGGAGAATAGTGTCAGTCCTGTGATTTTTTTTTTTTTTTTTTAAACTGGAAAAATTAGATAGGACAAGGAAATAAAACCTACTCTAGTTTCAGCTGTCACCCCCTCCTTCTTTGACTTTCTTTGGAGGACACTATTGACCCTGATGGTCCTGATTTGCATAGTAAATTGAGATTAAATAGGATTAAGAACGCTTTTCTGTGAACTCTGTAGAAAGTGCTTATACATTCTAGTGAGTTAGGTTGAGCCATAGAAGGGATTTTCTCTAGATATAATGTTACAAATAGGTTAGACCCAGGCTAACTCACCAGTTAGTTTATTTAATCTACCATATATCTGAACCATATATGGTAATATCCTATTAGTGGTTCAGCACAGAACCAGTTCTCAATTATGTTGTTTCTGTTGGAGCATGAATTTCTCATTTTCCTGGGGGGTGATCTTCCTTCGTTTTTTTCTGCTTGGCCTCTGTGGTCTTAGTTATTAAGTAGCTCCAGTTCTTACAGTGGTAGTGGTTAGGGTTCTTTGATTCTGTGCAGGACCTTAACCTTGTGGGGGTGGGGTTTAGAGGGGGTTGCTAATAGCAGTTGGTACTATTTGTGATGGTGGAAAAGAAAAGGGAACTTTGACATGCTTCAGGACCTGACTGGACCAGCCTCTCAGATACAAAGGACAGTCTGGAATTGTCCATGCATGAAGATATGTAAAATCAGTGGTAGCGTAAGACTGATGGGTTCAAAATTAGAAGTGTTAATAATAACGATATGAAATCAGGTATACCGTGTAAATCAGGTACACAAGAACACTATAGTGTTAGTGCTACTCTTTGTTTGTCATTATCATTAGAGCCACAGATTCAGTGTTAACAGAGCTTCTCATTTTTTTTCTTGTAGTCTCAAACCATGAATTATGTGGGACAGCTGGCTGGACAGGTGATTGTCACCGTGAAGGAACTCTACAAGGGCATTAATCAAGCCACCCTGTCTGGGTGTATCGATGTCATCGTGGTGCAGCAGCAGGATGGCACTTACCAGTGTTCGCCCTTCCACGTACGATTTGGAAAGCTGGGGGTCCTGAGATCCAAAGAGAAAGTGGTGAGTGCATTGTACCACCTGTCCTCAAGGAAGGAACAAGTTAGACTGCATCAGTGAGCAAATCGTCATTGATAGTTTTCTGAGCCTTTAAGAACAGACAAATCCTGAAGGATGTTAAGGACAGTGGTATGAGAAGTCAAATTTTCTGCATAGCATTTTAAGTCATTTCTAAATTCAAAAGCCATATTATAGGAAGTCTTTCCAAGGGAAATAGAAACCGAAAATTATTATAATCCTACATGTTGCAACTCAGAAGAGCAAAACAGAAAAACTAGAGTTATAAATGGGGAAGTTAGGCATATTTAGAAAAAGAAAACTTTATTTTACTTTATACAGCACTTTAAAATATTTAAAGTAATACCTTTATACTAATGTGAATGATAAAGGCTGACATAATCAAGAATACATTTGTTTAAAGGAAATGAATTAATGCTACATTTTATTTGTTTTTTTTTTTTTTTGGAGAGATTTTCGCTATAGGGCGCGTGCGCTCGCCAGACAGACAGAGAGAGACATAGAGACAGAAAGCGAGAAATCACCCCCCAGGGGGGATGGTCACGCCGCAATCCCTTCTCCTCCATTCTCCTCTCGGGATCCTGGGCACGCACGCACACGCGCCCGGCGTGAGTTCTAAGCCACCGGGTCCGGGACACGAACCGCGGTCGACTACGTGGGAGTCCAGCGACATAGCCATTACGCTAACTGCTGGTTCCCCATTTTATTTGTTTTAACAAAGCTGCAAAATTTTACTGTGATATAAATTCTGCTGTAGATACTAGGACTTTCCCCAAATCTAACCGAAATACTCACCTGTAGATTATAGGCTAGTTAACTTAAATACATTTTCCTAGGGAAGATTTATTCAGAAGTTATCTATGTGTGTATCTTTCCTTTTTCCTTCATATGTGAAGCAATTAGAAGGTTTGCTAGTGTATCTGTCAGTCAAGTTAAACTGAGCTAGTAATAAAACTGCACAGGTACATGGTATTTCTAAGTGTATCTTATTTTATTTACTTAAGTAATATAGGGAGGTTTTACCAAGATTTTAGAGCACAGTGAAAGATCGTCACCATTTTCTGGCATAGATCTAAAAGTACGTTAGAGGTGCTGGTCTGTGTTGAAAATATAGCTTTTAGCTGTTCTCACATAGTGGATCTTATTGTATAAATAGAAATTTCTTTCTGTTTAGTTGATCTTATGTTAAGACTGAAATAAAAACAGATTTCATAAAACTAGATTTTTTTCCCCCCAGGAAAAGCATCTCAAGTCTAGGTGTTACAATATCACTTTTCACTGGAGAACCATGTTTCAGAGTGGGAGAGTCTCTATGGTCTAGCTTCTTTCGAAGGTGGCACTCTTTAGAAAGTGAAAGCAATTGCAGTTTACTTAGTGACTTGGAAAGTTACCATTGCAAAACAATATTGTTTAGCTTCTCTGGAATTTTTTCTTTCTTCTGGTAATACAGAAAGTGCTTTTAAACTGTATCTGTTACAGGGGAACTAGCACAAACTGTTTACTACTGAAATTTTCCATTAGTTGTGCAAGGATCTCTTCAAAAAATACTTCTAATGCTGTTTGCTGGGATTTGGGTTTTGATCAGCAGATTGGATCACCCTTTGGTCTCTCAAATGGAACCTGTAGGCAGATATATATATATATATATATATATATATATATATATATATATGTGTGTGTGTGTGTGTGTGTGTGTGTGTGTGTGTATATGTATGTATCTGTACATGATGACTGAGCAGATAAAATTCCTTTTTGTACATTCAGTTTGCTTCTAATTTAGAAAGTAATACAGTTTCTATGTGAAGCTACACAATTGATTGTGTTAAATATCTTGTCAAATTCTTAAATTTTTAATAGTATATCCTTAACACACAAAAAAAGAGAACATTTCTTCTTTCCCATTCCTTCCCTTCATATCCGAGAAATCCAAATGATATGTTTGGGAGGAAGTTTGGTCATTCAGTTTAGTAAAACATAGCTTTCCTGTGACAGTAAAGCAAACCATGTCTGCCTTGGTATATCCTGCCAGTTCACATTAACTATTTGCCTTATTTTAAGTTAGTTTGGGTAGGAAAATCTATTTATTTATTTAAAACTAAGATCCAAAATTTTCAAATATGGTATCACTTACAAAGTAGATTTGAAATCATAACCATTTGAAGAACACTGTTTAGAGAAAAGTAATATAATGATTTTTCTACTGCCATCCTATGTTCTTGGTTAATAGAGAATACCAATATTCCTAGTATATTTCATAACTGAGAACTTTAATTTCAGAAGATAAATCTGCATTTGCTATCTTTAAATACTAATTTTGTTGACTACCACAAAACTGATCGCTTAGTTTTTATCAGAGTTAACCCTCTATATATTAGACTGTTTCCAGTCTAATTGAAAAAATCTCCCTCCCAGTTGCTTAAGCAAAACTGGTTTTATAACTGAAACACAGGGGCATTTGATTTATTCAGAGTTGTAATTAGAGTCTCTTAACTAAAATGTTGTCAGAGATTTTTTTCCCCCTTTCTCCACCTTTCAGTTTCGCTTTTGTTTGTGTGGGTTCTGTAAGATACTTAGCTGCCATTACCTTCAGGCTTGACTTCCCATGAACTCAACCCCAGTAGAAAGAACTTCCTACGGAAGTATGGATATTTAGTCTCTATCAAATTTGGATCATACGTATCTTGAGTACTAGTCACTACATCTGAGAATGGAATACTTTGATTGGACTTTCTTGGACAGTAGTTCCACCTACACTCCCCGAAGCTACACTTGAAAAATATGTCCTGAAATGGAAAAATGCTACACTTGAAAAAATGCTCTAAATAGATCCACAAAAGGCATTGGATATAGTCCTATCCACCCACCCACCCCCTCCCCAAAAAAAGAAAATGCCACGTTAGGTCAGAAAGTCTACTACATCCAATATTTTTCAGTTGTATTTCAACATCACAGTCACATATTGAGCAAGATTGAGCCACACTGTAGGAAATATGACTGGAAATGAGTGATTATTTTAGAAACCAGTTTACTAGAATTTAATATGTCAAAATGAGTGTCCGCTTTAAAATAATAACCTTGGGAAGGGTTTAGTCCAAGTTGGTGCTATCATGTTTTAAAAATCTTTTTCCTTCATTGCCTAAGGAGGCCAACCGGACTGGGGACTTGAACCAGGGATGGCATGTGACTTCCAGCTCCATATTTCAGTGTGCTCTTGGCTGTGCCACAGAGGCTGAGTCCTGAGTCTGTTTTTATTAAAGATAAAATGAAATATATATTTCATTTGTATCGTTTAACTTAGTTTAAACAAAGCATATATGTAACAAATCAAATGACTATTTTAATTATTTTCTAGATCCAACATCTGTTGAATAAATTTTTAATTTATTTTAACTGAGAAACCTAAAATGGAAAATGAATTAGGGTTAATATTTGTCCTGTGAAAACTGGTACAGTCATTTCTTTTAAAAAGTAAAAGAGGGGCAAGGTGGTGGTACAGTGGTAAAATGTGACTGACTCTGTGTGAGGCTGACCCACATAGGAAAGTTCCCAGTTCATGTCTGGAAACCTCCCAACTATGTATGGCTTGCATGTGCTGAGTCTGGGGGTGTATTGTAGCTTCAGGACCCTTTTTGGAGTGCTTCCTCCCTTAACATGAAAGAATGAAACCTTTCCAAAAAAAAAAAAAAAAAACAAGTGAAAGGCGAAGTCAGGTAGTAAAGGCACAGTGGTAACAGAGCTGGACCCACGTGGGAAGAGTTCTGTTCCTTCTCCCTGAGCACATTGATCTCAGCTGGGTGATGATGAAAGTGGATTTGGGGGTGGGGGTGGGGATTCCTTTGGAGATACCTCTTTCTCTGTCTCATGGAAGGAATAAGTAAACCTTAAAAAGAAAATGAAAGTGAGTTTTTAATATAAAATAATCATTTCATTAACATTTCTTAGATTACATAGACATTTTTTCACTCATTACTCTATTTGCCATTTTTCCTTTTTTTCCCACAGCATTATTTATTTCTTTAAACACACACACACAGTCTTAAGCTATCATCAATGACCAGAGGTAAACTAGCACTCAATCTCTGATCAGATGGCATCACTAGTCCGCAACTGGGAAAACCCAGCTGATAGTGCAGTTTATTCCCATCATAAGTACCATACAGAACGGAGCATGTTTAGATTATAGACTGTCTTAGGTCTTGTCTTTTGCGTTCTATCTTTATATTTCCTGAACAGTCAAAATCTAGAGTTTAAAAATCTATCCATAGGAATTTTGAAAGTTAGTGTTCATTTTTTTTTAGGGATTTAAAAATGTTTTCAGAGCCTACAGATAAATGACTACAGTGTTTATGCTATTTATTTATTTTTGCTAGAGGGTCTGTGTGCTTGTCAAGAGAGAGGAGAAATAATCCCCTATGGGCATTGGTCATGCTACAACCCCACCTCTCCCTTCTCTCCCTCCTTTGAATATTTCAGGTATATATGCACATGCATCCAGTGTGTTTTTTAAGCCACTGGACCTGGAACTTAAACCATGCAGTTAGCCATGTGGGCTCTGGCCATCTTAGCCACAAGACTGCAGAGCTGACTCAATTAACTATGCTATTTTTTTTAATGATAGGTTAGTATTGACTATTATATATAGACATTCCTCACTTTGAATGCTAATAGTGCAGCCTATGAAAAGTACCAGGTAAGTGAACAGAAAGTGAGTTTAATAATCTATGGGAAAATTACTGGTTTTCTATGACCCTTACAATTTTTTATTAAAACTTCAAAATTATTTTACTATCAGTTATAAATGTGTAGAAAAATGGGGAAAATGTAAAATAATACTTACTTAGTATACTGGGATTAGAAACATTGAAAACTGAAGTGTCTCATTCTTTTGCCTCAGTCCCTCCTCCTCCTCCATTCTCCTCTCAGGATTTTTGAGTGCACATTCACACTTAATCAAGCATTTCAAGCCACCAGGTCCAGGACTCAAACTGCTGTTGGCTATTGTGGGAGTCCAGTGCCTTAACCACTATATCACCTGCTGGTGCCTGTTTTCTTTCTTTTTTTTTCTTAAGGGAGGTTTTGCTATGGAGCTTGTACACTCTCCAGAGAGGCAGAAAGCAAGAAAATACCCCCCAGGGGAGATGGCTACTCCACAGTCCTTGCTCCATTCTCCTCTTGGGATTTTGGGTATATACATACATCCGTCCAATGTGAAGTTCAAGGCAGCAGGTCCAGGACTTGAACCACAGTTGACCTGTGGTTACAGCCACTGACACCAGTGTTACAGCCATTACACCATCTGCTGGTCCCTCAGTTGTCTATTTTATTTATTTACATATATATTTATGTATTTATTTATTTATTTAGCATTTATTCACTGAACATCATCACAGCATACAACATGCAGTTTCACATCTAGAATACACTGTATAGTGGCTTAGTCATATATTTTATCATCACAAATAATTTTCCATTTCTTGTTTCATATATATATTTTTTTTCTCCCTCCCCTCCCCCATTTCTTACCCTCTTACCCTCTGCCATATCCCACCCTCCTCCCACTCTATCTCTGGTATCTGCAATTGCTTGCCTTTTTTTTTTTTCTCTCCCACATTTTATTGGTTAACAGAATACCTTAATTGATCTAACTACTTTCAGTAGCAAGTCCAGCTGATATATAAATATCTGTGAACAAATGTTTTACTTTAGACATGAAACTGTCAATAGAATGAATACACTATAAAATAGCACCTAGCTATATAGCTTACTGTGATCATTAAATAGGTATTTTTATATTTTTTTTTTTTTAATTTCCTTAGAGAAGAATAAATCAAAGTCAAAAAATGTTAAGAGAACTTTGCTTAAGACTTAAAGCCAGGAAGCAGGTTAGGATTTTGTTCAAATAGTAGTTACCTAGATCTTTTGACGATTCAAGAACTATAAAATAGCACCTAGCTATATAGCTTACTGTGATCATTAAATAGGTATTTTTATATTTTTTTTTTTTTAATTTCCTTAGAGAAGAATAAATCAAAGTCAAAAAATGTTAAGAGAACTTTGCTTAAGACTTAAAGCCAGGAAGCAGGTTAGGATTTTGTTCAAATAGTAGTTACCTAGATCTTTTGACGATTCAAGAAAAGAAAAAAAAAATCCTTATCTCTGGACTACAAAGCATAGAAAAAGATCAGTATTGTTTTAGTCAAAAGCCATAAAATTCTATTTCATCAGCTTAGTCTTATGTACTTAATCTAACTTCTGTTGTGGTCCAAACTTGCCATTTAAATTCTGAAAGATAATATTCAACTCTTGACTTTTCCCTACGATTAAGCTGGCCCTTTTCTTAGATATTTTTAAACTCATTTCTGTGTGTCTGACTTTAGTTTTCCTCATATAACACTCCTTTCAGAACTTTGAGATCTGGTCTGGTGTCAGTAAATTCCCTTAGGTTTTGTTTATCTGAGAATGTTCTTGTCTTCTCTTCCCATATGAAGGATAATCTTGCTGGTTATAGTATTCTTGGTTGAAATTGTTTTTCACTCAACATTTTAACTGTATTTTCCCATTCTTTCCTTGCTCGCATTGTTTCTGATGAGAGGTCTGCTGTTATCCTGATGGGATATCCTTCGTAGGTAACTTGTCGTTTCTTTCTTGCCAGTCTGAGTACCTTGTCTTTATGGGTTTTGTCAATCTGGCTATAACGTGTCTTGGAGAAGTTCTTGGGTTATTCTATTTGGGGTCCTATGTATTTTTGGGTCTGGATTTTTGAATGCCTGTCTAGGTTTGAAAAGTGTTCTTTCAAGATTCCATAGACTAGATTATTAATACCCTTATTAGTCTCTTCACCTTCTGGGATACCAATTATCCGGATGTTTGGACGTTTGATGGTATCTAGTATTTCTCAAATATTATCCTCATTTTTTGGACTATTTTCTCTGTTTTTGTAGTGGATTTTTATAGGCCAGCGATTCTGTTTTCTACATCTGAGATTTGATCTTCTGTATGATCTAGTCTGCTTTTAATACTTTAAAGAGAGGTTTTGATTTCCTATATTACAACTTTCATCTCTTTATAGTTCCGTTTGATTCTTTTTTTATGGTGTGTATTTCCTCTTTCAGATTGTGCAAGAACTTCCTCACCTCCTGGAACTCCTCAGTTCTATTCTCCTGCCTCTTCTGGAGTTCATTGTCTCTCTTCTCTTGCATCTCTCTTAACTTTATCACTATGAATATTCTAAATTCCTTATCAGACATTTCCATGATTTCCATTGAACTGTCTATGGATGAAGAGGATGTTATTCTTTTCTTTGGGATGAGAGGTATTTTCTTGCTTTCCCATATTTCTTGTGACTCTGCAGTGATTTCTAGTCATCTGATGGATGGTGCATTTCTTCCTAATTCTTGAAGTTTAATCTGAGCGTTCAGGAGCATGCAGGAGGAGGTGATATGCAATCTCTTTTCCAATCTGTTTTTGTCCCTTTGTGCAGTGGGTATTTAGGAATATTGAGTGGGTATTTAGGAATATGTTAACCCTAATGGTATTTCGATGTTTGGCAGTGGTTCTCTTAGATCTGCCTAGATACTCAGTGAATGGAGATTGAGCAGCAAAGTGATGAGGTCAAAGAAAAAAGACTAAGAAAACAGAGAGAAAAAAAAGAGAGAGAAAGAAGAAAAAAATGAAAGAAACAACAACCAAAACAATTTATTTTTTTTAAAATGGCGTAAAAAATTAAAACTGCCTAGCACGCTTACGTGCCACACAAAATCACTAGTTCTTGGCAGCAATGGAGGAGTCTTCTTCTGAAGGCCTGCTGCTTGCCTAACCTAGAGGAGAGGGGGAAAGGGTATTATTAGCAAGATAAAGAAGTATCTGAAAGCCAAGAGAATACTTTACCTTAAAAATTTTAAAAAGGAAAAATTACAAAAAAAATGAGAAGACAGAAAGAGACAGAAGGATAGAGGGACACCCTACCACTCAAGACTGGGGGCTGGAGACTGAATTAATAATCAGTAGAAAATCTTCATTTTTCTTTTTCCCTGAAATCAGTAGTTCTCGGCAGCAGTGAAGGAGCCTTCTTCTGAAGGCCTGCCCTTTGCCTTTCTATTAGAGACTGGGGCTGGAGGTTCAATTACCAGTAAAAAATCTTCATTTCTCTTATTCCCTCCAGTTGTCCATTTTTATAATGTCCTGTTAGTTAATAATTGGGAGATGAAAAGGCCACGTATGCTTTGCTGTCTGTGCCTGAACGGAATAACTGATATGCAGTGATCAATAACAAACCTGGAAAGGTTTTGTGATTGGTGTCTCATCATGACATCATCTCTTCATTATGTGGTGATCTGTGGACAGAAGAGCTGGCAGTGAAGTTGCATTTCTACCATTTTACATCATTGGGAAGCTAAACAATTAAAATTACTTAATCACTGTGAAAATAGTGAAAACATTTTTATGCACCTCTTGGTTTTCTATCCCTCTCCCACATAGGTTCATTTATTTGTAGAACTATAGGATGCGGAACTTGATGCAGTGTTTCTCTGGGGCTGTAGCTCTGGGAACTTCAGTACTAAGTTTGGCTTGAGAACTCAGAATTTAGGCTAAATTTAGCTTGAATGAAAGACTTTGAATGCTGAATCACGCTTCCTTTCTCCCCTTAGATTGATATAGAAATCAATGGCAATGCAGTGGATCTTCACATGAAATTGGGTGATAATGGGGAAGCTTTCTTTGTGGAAGAGACCGAAGAGGAATATGTAAGTTTTCAAGGGTCACATCTACTTCACACGTTGTGTTCAGGCTTCTGATACATGTATCAAAATGAAATGTTCAGCAGTTTTCATGGTTGGTTGTACAAATGATTGTTGCTGATTAGACAGGCTTTCTGTTTCAGTTTGAAAAACGAAGCTGTCAGAAAGGAGGGATGTGAAACTTCTCCACAGCAAATTTCAGAATACAGAGAACATACAGAAAAGCCTTTGTACTTGTTCTTTTTGTACAAGGACAGTTCTTTTTAACTTTAATTTAATGTCCATTACAGTTTACACCTTGGCTTGAATTCATTATTTCCACCTAAGTAATTAAGGCATATCTTCTTTCTGGCTATGTGTTTGTACACATGTGACCTTTAAACTTAGAAAACATGTTTACCATTTTCGCCAGGGAAGTCACTTGCCTAGCTTTGAATAGTCATGTTAATTAATTTAT